AGATGGATCTCTTAGACATAATACTAATTTATCAGAAGCCAATCCGGACAGCATGGGTATCGGCTGGGTGCAATTAAGTGAGAATGAGAGTAAAATCATTAATGAAGGCTCCTTTAAAGCAAAAAACTGGCTGTCCTCAACAAAAGCTAAATTACTCGGGATCTGGTATGTTCTTCTTATCGCACCAAGTAAGAGAAAAGTTAAAATTTACACAGACAGTTCAGTGGCAATAAAAGTTATAGAAGGAAGAAAAAAAAGGGAAAAAATACACCAGTTTCTAAAAGAAGAGAATTATGATCTAATAAGTAGTATAGTTAAGTAAACGTCCATTATGTGGTTAATCAAGTGTCTACTTAGGCAAAATTTAGCACTAGACCTTATCATCCAAGTATCCTATTTACAAATTTTATAAAATTGGCTTAGTCCGATTATCTATTCAAGAATTAAAAGATACGTACGTATCTTAAGAAATATCTGTATAATTCAAAACGCTTTGAATTTTATTAAAACTTTTTTAGAACTTTAATGCTATATACTGTATATATGTATACGTATATAATTATATATGAAATAATTTATTTGACACCCGGGTGAGTTATTCACTCCCATTAAGTACAAAAGGGAACCCTGGTCATATTAATTTTAAGCTCTTAAAAAACCTTTGTAAATATAAGTTTTTAAGCAAAAGCCACAATAAAATACTGGTATAGAAGAAGTCACCATTACGTGTAAAATGATAGGTAGTTAAAAATAAATGTGATTACTGTTTTTATTTTATCACATTTCGCCCTTGACAATAGGGTTGGGGGCACGGCAAATTTTTGGGGCATGCCCTCTATAGATATATATATCATATATTATCGTAATTAGCAATAGTAGGCTTTAATTCTAATTGGCCAATTTGATAATTGACCAATTATATAATAGCCCTATATCACATGATAGGGGCATGCCTTTTGGTCAAAGGGCATGCCTCATGGGGCATGCCTCATGCCCCCAACCCTACTTGACAATCATCATTAAGAATTCGAATGTTCTAGATTTGCAAATCTTGTTTTGATGACACCATCAACCTATTTTTATATTTATTCATCAACCTATTTCTGTATATATTCATTATATGAAAATTATTAGCATTAGTTTCTAAAGCTAATATATGAAATGAACTTGTTTACTAATGGTATATTTATTGTTTTTGCTTTTGCTTTTATGATTTTTTTGTAAACTTACATACATATATATTTTCAAGTTAGTAAACAGTACTTTAAAACAACACCTACAAATGATTGGTCTTATATTGGGTATCTTGTGGCAATGAAGCCATATGCTTTGATAATTATACTAAAATCTACATAGAGAAAAAGCTTTTTAACTACATTAGATCAATTGAAAGATCCAATAATCAAGAGCAAAGTGAGGCTGCTACTTTTCTTTTGAATAAGGTCTGTAAATACTTTTTTTTATCTTTTGACATCAGTGCAAATATATGTGCAGCTCCTGGAAGGTAACGCTCTTTACCGAAGATTGTTAGGTAATACCCTCGCATATATTTTGTGAGCTTGATTATATATTTGCATTACTGGAAGAAAGATAACACCTTTAACCTCCTAGAGTTAAGTAACGCTCTCGGTGCTATATGTAACAAGCTCCTAAAATGTCTATATATTAAAAGTATTCACATATAAAATTTTTTATATGTTTGAACGGGCTTATTTAATACCTTATTTTATTTTGTAGAAAAGCAACAGTCATGAAATATTAGATTATTGAAAATGTGTTGAACAAGAAAGAAGATTAGTACTGAAGCAGGTACAATAATGTGGTAAAATGTTTTTTAATAAATTTCAATTTTATAATAGTTTATTAATATGAACAGTTGGATGTAAAAAGCAATATACAAATCTCTGTGTTAAATATATTAAATATTGCAACTAACAATCAGTCATACCAAGTTATTAAGCTATTTGAAGAAAAATCAGATAATCAATTTCCGAATGATTACTCTACAGAAAAGATAAAAATAATAATAGTTAATACCTTATGTTTTAAGCTAGTTCTGAATTGTATTATAAACCTTACTTATAGCAACAATATACAAGATCTTTGGATAATTAGAAAAGAATAAAGCGTGTCAAAATTCATAAGATGGAGACCATTATTGTTTGATTATTGCTAAATTATGATTTAAATTTAAATAAATATTCTTATAGTATGAAAAGCGAGAATGTATTATTAAAAATTTAGATAATTCTGAAAATAGTTATAATGATAACTTTCAAAGTTATGATGACCTTCAGAATTATAATGATTTTTAGAGTTTAAAAATTTTCAAAGTTATAATGATTATGAAACCAATGAAAATAGTAGAGAAAATTTACCCACAGTGTTGGCTGTTAAAAGTTGTAAAAAAAAAAAAAAAAAGAATTAACCTGAATTCATGATATCAGATAGTTTTGAAAAGTTTATAGATATATATGAGGATATGGTGGATGATAAAAAGTGGAAGCTCTTTACAGGGAAAGTAGTAGAAGATACTCTATGATTTTGCAAGTAAATATTTATATGAACAGTATGTATTTCTGTATTTTATATACAATTTTTAATCTTGATATTATAATCTATAATCTCATACTATGAAATTTTTTGGAATTTCAAAGTGCTTCACATAGCTTCATAAGGGTAGTGTCATTTATTACCTGATTTTTTTTTATCAAAGGCTTACTCTCTCTTCTTCTCTTACTATATATTTTGATCAGGTTTTTATATATAATTTTAAATTTTTACCCCCTTCTCTCTAAAAAATCACCTGATTTTTATCACGTTTCTAATCGATCTAACCGATAAGCTATATTTGGATAATGATATTTTCACTGAGAAAGAGTTAAGAGAAATCAAAGCACACAAAAGGTATAGCTTGCCAGAAATTTTAAATGATCTTTTTACTTATTTAATAATATTTGCAATAGTAGATGCATTAATACAAAAGAGATAGATTTATAATTATGTACATATTATTTACTAATACATAATATTTGCATATTTTCGAAAGAAAATATTATATGAATTAAGGTATGCAATAGATCAATCTATTGAATTTATACAAGGAGATTTTAATCCAGAAAAATATTATGATTATGATTGGATTAGATACATAATATATACAATATATAAACTATAAACTATGTACAAGTATCCTTATATCAAGAAAATCCTAAGCTGTCGACCAAAAAAATATGACTCTGAAAACTTTTACTTAGAAATCAGAAGTTAGTTGTTATAGTAAATTTTTGTGATATTTACAATTTTTTATATTTTTTTTTATTATACAAGATCCTGTAATTTTACTAGACATGGTCCAAAATTTTAGAATCGGAAGTGATCTTTAGCCCAGGATTTTTTTGATATAAGGGACTTATAGACTACACTAATGATAAATTTACAGAAAAGTGAGTTTTTGGCTTAAATATTGTTATATAAATTTATATTGGTTTTATAGTATACAGGAGTATAAAATAGGATCATTTAGAAAAAATCACCTTGAACAGTGGTATAATATGCACCTCTGATACACTATTATTTATTTTATTTTTTTTTATAATTCTCAGCTGCCTCGCCGGTATCTTTTATTAGATCAAAGTATATATGTGTACATATATTAAACTATCTAAGTTGCAGATCTGACAT